AATTTAAATTACCTTAACACTATGGAACCTAATATGTAACACAATTGAAGCCTCAGAAAAGATTGGGTCAGGAAAGTCATAATTCTGTTTTGTGGGGAAGCCAAATTTTGTATTTGGTGGGGGGTGGGTATTCTAAGCAATGATAACAATTTTGACTTCCTTCGTTAATTCTAAAATCAACACTGTCCTATTTTGTTTAAATCAAGCTCAAACAAAGACTGATAATTTCTAATCACAAGAGGGAAAGTCATTCTTTCCCTCACAAAATTTCTAAACCTCACTCAACTCAATTTTTACAAACTCCTTTCAACACAGTTTAAATTGCTGATTACTCGCTCAAGCCTGAAAAGGGCAAAAATATAGAAATTATTAGAAACTTAAGTAACCATGTTTTTGACAACAATATTGTGTTGTCAGCTGTGTAATATGCTGCAATATTAATTTGAAAATACAGTTATTCATTCTCATTATTCAACATGATCCTTGTTTGCACTTGTTACTATATTTACAATCTACAGCTTGGTCTTTTCAATAAAATACCTTACATTTCTCTTGGCTGAGTCTATCACAATATGTAACACGGTCAACGGTTACACAACATGCAATAACGCTTCTTCCTGCTTATTTAGTATTACATCTATAGATATGTATAAATTACAATAGGGGATAATGGGAACGTTTACGAAGGTAAACAAACTTTTTACAAAACTTTCTTTATGATCATGCACAGCACTGTGTGTCCTTGGGGCTAACATCACACGGGCAGAGAGGGGCTATGGGAATACTGTGAACGCGAGAAGTGGAGGACCCAGCGGGCGGGCCTAGGTCAGCCTAGGCTAGACGATGCCTAAGCAGCGCCCGGAGCCGTGGGCTCAAGAGGCAGGGCGTCGGGGAGCGGGACAGGGAGTGCCGTCTCGTTGAGCAGCTTGATGAGGATGAGGGGCTGTAACTCTGACATCTCCGGCGGACTGTCGGCTGCCATCGGTTCCAGAGCGGGCTGTGGGGCGGGCGGGGGCTGTGGAGGGGGCTCCGCGGCCGCGGCCGTCGACGGCGTCGTGCTGGCCGGAGGTGGCGCCTTCCCAGCCGGCTCGTCGGGAGGCTCGTCGCCGCTCTCGTCCACCTTGGGGCTCTCGGGGGGCTCCTCCGGGGGCTGCTGGCTTGGCGGCGGGGCCGGCGGCGCGGTCGGAGGCGTCGACGTGCTGCTCGGCGGGGCCGTAGGCGGAGGAGGCGGGGGGAGCGGCGCGGCGGCCAGGACGAGCAGCTCGTCGTCCACCAGCCTGGGGAGGTCCTTGGACGGCTGCACGCTCACCTCCGGCTGCAGCAGCTGGATCACGGGGGGAAGCTCCTTCAGCACGGGCACCACCAGCCGGTCGTCTTCTTCCGGCAGTGTGATAGCGGGTAGTGGGACGAGGGGCGCCGGGACAGCTTCCGGCACGGCCTCCAGTTCCGGCGCCGCGACCGGGACACTTTCCGATTCAGAATCAGGACTTTCTTCCGGGCCCGAGGGCAAACCCGCGCCAGGCTCCGACACCTCTGGTGTGGTAGTCGTAGTGCTTGGTGGCAAGGCGGTTGTCACTTCCTCGGTCACTTGGGGAGTCACCGTGGTCGTCGGACCCGTCGTCAACTCTGTGGCTTCACTGGTCGTAGTTTCGGGTGGCGGCGGCGGCGTAGTTGTGGTCGTTGTTGTGGTCGTCGTGGTCGAGGTTGTCGTAGTCGTGGTCGTGGGCGCGACTGGCGGCGCCAAGGGCTGCAACGGGGCGATGGGGTAGCCGTTGAGCATGAGGGCGGGGGCCGGGGCTCCCGGCACGCCCATGACGCCCGACACGCCCGAGTACATGGCGGGCAGCACGGGCATCTGCACCGGCACGTGCACCGGCATGGACAGCGAGCCCATGGGTACCTGCACGCCCTGCACGCCCTGCACGCCCACAGACAGCAGCAGCATCTGCGGCAGCGTGAGCGTGCACGTGGGCACGCCCTGCAGCTCCGTCAGGTTGGTCTGGAACACCAGCAGCGCGCGCGCCAGCTGTTCGTCGCAGCGCACCGGGTTGTCTGCAAACAGGGATGTTTGTGTGTCACGCGTCGCAGTCCTGGCGCACATCATTGCAACACTTCAAAGAACCCGAAAAAGTCAACGTTATGACGTCGGGTTTCCATGGCATGCATGGAGTAAGAATTTTTTCATAATGTCGCCCCCAACCCGCGCTCACTCACCGTACAGCACGATGCGCAGCACGCTGTTGACGCCGTGCACCTTGCAGCGCGTCTTGGCCGTGAGCTCCTGGTGAATGCGGCTGATGTTGTTGCTGCTCAGGTCGGCGCGGCACAGCGCGGGCAGGCCGTGGAAGTCCCGCTCCAGCGAGGTGAGCAGGTTGTGCGAGGCCATCAGCTCCTCCAGCGCGGGCATGAACGTCTGCAAAAGGAAGCGTGTCATGCCCATAGCGTCCAACAGCGAGCCGGAAGTCGCCCGCGAGACTCGCGCCACATGTGCTGTCACAATCAGCACATGACGGCCTGTGGACTCACCTTGGAGGTCTCCTCGAGCGTGTGCAGCTGGTTGAAGCTGACGTCGAGGGCCTTGAGCTGGTCCAGGCCGATCAGGTCGTCCGGTGAGATGCTCGCCAGCATGTTGTGGCTCAGGTTCAGCCTCTCGAGGCCCTGGATCCCGCCCAGGGCACCGTCCAGCGACACCAGGGCGTTGTACTCTAGGCGGAGTTCCTCTACCCGCGTCTCTGAGTCGACCACGTTCTGGGAAAGAAAGAATCGGGTTCTAAAAAATTCCGACCAAAAAAGATGTTGTCTTTTAAGGAGGATGGTGAAGGGGGTTCATTGCTACCTCCATACGGCCGCTTAGCCGTGCAATGCGGTTGTAGGTGAGGTCGACGATCTTGAGCCGCTGCAGGCCGTGGATTTCCTGCAGGCTGAACTCGGTCAGCCTGTTGTGCGTTAGGTTGAGCAAGTTCAGCTCGCGGATGCGCAGTAGCGACGAGTTGAGCGACTCGATCTCGTTGTTGCCGAGGTGCAGCTCCTCAATGTTCTCGGCCTCGAGGAAATCGTCCTCGGCTAGCTGTAACACCGCGCAGCGAGCGCAAGGCGCAGCGGCTTAGCCAACGTGTTCCTCTCTGCAGTGACGTGCGGCTCCACCGTACCCTTACCGTCCTGATCTTGTTGTAGCCCAGCTCGAGCAGCTGCAGCCGTCGCGCGCGCGAGAACACGCCGTTCAGGCTGACGATGGAGTTGTTGCTGGCCAGCATGGTCTCGAGGCGCGGGCAGAAGCGCAGCTCGTCGGGCAGCCTCTCGAGCCGGTTGTTGGCGACAAAGACGAGATGCAGCTTCTCCATGCCGCGCTCCGGCAGCTCTCCGTCCAGCGTCGACAGCTGGTTGAAGTTCAGGAACAGCCACTCCAAATCCAGGAGCTCCCTGTGCAACAAGAACGGTCACGGCACATCGAGGTGGGGGGGGGGGGTATGGACCTAGAGCAGGTACTAGTCAACAACTCACCGGAGGGTTCCGTTAAGGTGTTTCAGTTCGTTGCGCCCGAGGTGGAGATGCTTCAGCGTCTTGGGTATCGACCCCTTCTCCAGGGTGGTGAGGGCGTTGCCCACCAGAACGAGGTGCTGGAGCTCCGGCAGCACCTGCAGGTCCTGCGTCCTGACCGTGGTGACCCTCGAGCAGCTAAGGTCCAACGTGCGCACCTTGGGCATGAGCGCGAGCACGGGCGTCGGGATTTCGGGCAGCGCGTTGTCCGCCAGGTTGAGGTAGCTGGTGCCGTTGAGTCCAGCGAAGGCCTCCTCGGGCAGCTGGCTGCAACAAGTGACTCAATGACAGAAAGACACTTTGATCCATTTTTCCTGTCCTACCCAATGATTTTGTCCCCTCCCCCTCCCCCCTTCTATCTCTCAGTTTTCTTCCCGAAGTGACGAGAAGGAAATTTGACGCAGTGCACTTTTTGCGGACAGTGACTTGGACGCGGGGCGCGTCATGTGTGTATTGTATCTTGCGGCGCAACAAAATATTTTTTCTGAGCCAAGAAATCGAAGTTATTTTTATTTATTTCCCGCTTGCGCAGGGATTTGCGCGCTCTTTTAGCAGCCGTGACAAACTCACGACTTGCGCCCCGCAGCTCGCACGAAAACATGTGATTACGTTTGAATCTCAGGGCCCGAGGGGAGGGGGAGGAGTGCCGGGCGCAATCATCCATTTGGCGCTAATCACAGGGAATGGCTGTGCACAGTCACGAACCTCTCATCACGGCAAAGTCCCGGCCAGTACGAGCTCCACAGGAAGGGGGAAGGGTGGGAGGGGAAGGGGAAGGGGCAGAGGCAGAGGCAGAGGGGTTGCTGTTGATCTGAGAGGGTCAGAAAGAAGACACCACGAGACTGGAATAAATATAGGAAAAGGGAAGCAATTGTTCCCCCAGGCTTGTGGATGTGGCTCGCGCTAGACAGACAGCTCGGCGGGCCAAGAGGGCCGAGCGCAGTGAAGAGGGGTGGGAGAG